TCGCGCTTTGTCATCCGCCATTTTCAATAAATTTATTTTGCAACATTGAAATAAATTGATTCTTAAAGTAGAGATTTTTAGCTTTATTTCCATATTTTATAGAACTTTCTATCTTTATTATTTACGAAGTTATCGTCAGTTGAAATTTGATGAATTTTTCCCACATTTTCAGTGTACCGCTTTTTTTTCGGGTGAGTGTATTTACAATTGAATTCACGATCAATAAGATTCGTCTCGTTATACGATGAATAAAATATTAAATAATGACATTATCATATTCGTCGAATAATGCGAGTGAGTTAAATGATAATGAAAGAAGTTGAATTGAATTTTGCGTAATAATAGGGCGATAAAAATTTTTAAATATAATTTTACATTTGTGGATTTTGAGGGATTACGCCAAATATCACAAGCTGTATGACTCACCTCTAGTTACGTGCCTCATTGTTATCTATAAATCTATGCAAAGGCGCGCCTATTGCACTGTATTTCGCTATTCTGAATCACAGGATGCCTCTCGACGCGCGACACAACTTTAAGAAACGCTCGGCGCGCGTTTACGCGGAAGAGAAAATTGCAAATTAATAAATAATAATCTCGTCTTCGTCGCGCAGGATACACCGCGCGATATGGATAATTTAAAGCACAATGATATCTCCTCATTCCCATAAAGTTGGAGAAACTATGTTGCGCTGTTTGTTCTCGGGAACAATGTTTCGAGGACAAAGTGGCTCGAACAAAACATCGTAACAAGACGCCGAGGAATATTTCGTACACAAAGTGTACAATTCGTTACCAAGTATTCCGTGGTTTCTGAGCAGAATCGTATCGCGCGCAAAGGCCACGGCAGAGGCGATTAGATCACAGACAAGTTCACGTGTCGCGACACGAGGCGCGGCGACGCAAGAAACTCGACCGTAGCTCTAGAGCTTTCTAGTATTTAGGCTCACTAAATATAGCACGACTCGGCTATAAATCCCAGGCCTCCGGTCTCTCTCGTGGCCACAGTGACGTTTCACTCGGACGAACGCATTGCTCGGTGAAGAAGACTGTCGGATACATCCGTTGTATCGATACTTTGCAATTTTTCAGCAGGACAACGCGCAAAACAAAAAATTTATTTTATATTATAATATTACCAAAATGAAATTTATGTGTGTGTGTGTGTGTATGCAATGTTAGAAAATGCTTATAAAATAAATTACACTTTACTGCGTGCAAATTACACAGGTATCACAATTTTAAAATAGCTGATGAATAGTTATTGCATTAATAAAATATTTTGGCAATGACCATAACTTTTATCGCTACACAAGCTTTATAAATGTCACATATTTTAATCTGCATGTATTTTTTCAGTTGTATAAATTTTTATTTGATGTGTCATTTTCTATTTTTACAGCAATGTTTCAATGAAAGCAACGCTTTCAAAATTTGCTGTTTACAGAGCACTTTAAGCGAGTATTTTATATGGCAATCTATCCGCAAAGATATGACCATCCATTCCAGAATTACCCTATCAGTTGAGGGTCGATTTCAAACGGGCATCGCGCTTTTTACGTGGTGCGGATTAACGGCGCGGTTGATGGAGTACTGCGGATTTACGAGACGAATTGGCCGATTGATCGCGCCGACTTCAAATGGCGGGTTTCGCAAACTATACACGACAAGAAAATCGTTCGAAAAGCCGATACGCTTGTTAAATCACGAAATATTGTCCATCCTAATGGCAATTTCCACGTGCGATTTATGGTATGCGATAGCAGAATTACAGGACCGTAAAAGAATCGACCGCTCATGCTGTAACGTGAACACTTCAACAGATCTTTATCGCGAGTAATTGTCATGTTACCACGTATGATCCGCGTGCAATCCACATGCGGCAAGTGGCTCTCGAAAAAATACTCAGAAAAGGCGGAATAAATGTACTTTCAGAATATTCTACAATTTTTCCCTATTTTAATAATTTTGTTTGCTCATTAATAATAACACATCTCCTTTCGCATTTCTGTCCTACAATCATGATGTATTTGCATTGCATTTCTGTCCTACTACTATGATGTATTTGCATTGCAATGCAAATACATCATAGCGTGAGAGCAAGATTTTATTATAATCTTAAAATAAAGATATAAATAGTAATATAAATATAAGTATACAAGTAAATCAGTCCCGTTATAAATAATAAATAATGTTGAAAAAAATAATCCGCTGCAAAAATTTCGAAGACAAATTAGCCTTATTATTTTAGTGATGATACAACGATCGTATTCAGCGTTTTCAGCAATTGAGAAAAATGGACGATCCGATTCTCTCGGGAGGATACTGCAGCTGATAGATAGCGTCGGTATCCTACAAAGACCGCCCCGAAATAATCGAGTTCTTTTCACTCGGCAGCCTTGTTAGTTTTTTATTGCACCGACGGTACAATCGAAAGGCCGTGCGGCTATGAATTATCCCTCCTGAATTGGGGGGAAGAACACTGTGCGGCCCCTAACGCATTCTATACGTTGTTTCTACCGACGGATTCGCACTGTCGAAGGTATAATTGCGTCATTTGACCGGCGTATTTTCGAATTGCTCGCTCGTTTTGCACAAAACCCACTGGGATCGCCACTTTGCGCGCGTGTGCGTTTGTCGTATCCTTCTCCACATCAATATATATATAATCCACTTTCTTTACCACATTTTATTCGATATCGGATAAATTTTAAAGATATCAAGTCTATTATTTGTGACGCCATATTATTTGCCACAAAATAAAACTTAAAATGACAAAATAAATCGTGAAATAATTTATTCATTTCGTTTTGATTTACATTTAAATGTTAAAATTATTGTTGTTATAAAATATCAATCTGAAATTGAATAAAATATTTTTGAAAAAAAAAAGATATTTGAGGTGCATGTTTTGGAAATATTTTCGCGAGAGTGCACATCGCGTTTATGAATGCATTGCCGTTAGCTCATGAATAATCACAATATGTATATAGGGTCCTCACGATGCATACTTGACCGTTAGGACCGAAAGAGCTATTTCTCTCTCTCTCTCTCTCTCTCTCTCTCTCTCTCTCTCTCTTTTGTTCCTTTTCATAAACCTCGACCTTTTGTCGTAGGTCACGGAGGGAGCTTCGTAGCAGCCTAGTGCCGTAGCATGCCGGCGAGCTGCAGCGCGTGGTGGGGCGTCTCTGAGACACCTCGTCGATCGGCGTCGATCGCCACCATCTGCGTGGCCAGGCAGCAATCGCTGGAGCGTCGTCGCAGGAGGAGGAGAAGAAGGCGAGATCGTCGTCGTAGCACAGGAAGCACGGAGCTCGACACCAGCGACCGATGAGCGCGGGGGGGATGGGGGCTCGGCGTTGGGCCCACCTGCCCGGCTGCCGGGGGCTCAGCCGAATGCCGCGACCCCCTCCAACGCGACCCCCCCCATCGTCGGCCAGCAGCCAAATGTCGGTGGCGTCGGTGGTGTGCCGGACACGGCACAGCTGGCGAACTCGCATCAACCCCCGCCGCAGTCGCAGACGGGTGCGGGTGGTGCTGCAGCCGCCGGCGCCGCCTCAAAGTCGGCCCAGAAGAGGCCCGTCAGACGGGGTGGCAAGCCGCCCCCCGACAGGCCCGTTCGGGCGCTCTTCTGTCTGGCCCTCACAAACCCTCTTAGGAAAATGTGTATTAGCGTCGTGGAATGGAAGTATCCTTTGCTATTTTACTCTCGTACTCTTTGTAATGAGCGAGACAATTGCTAGTTTTCACTCTAAAGAATTCAAACTTTACTTCGTAGATTGCGTGTAATATTAATAATGATCTCGCAATTAGAAACTTGACTCTTTGCGGTCAAGGTAATCTCGGCACAGACCAATCTTCCAAATAGTTTTCCAAATAATTGAAGCAATGTGTACGATTATAATTAACAATCAGTATTTTTTTAAATTTTTATTGAACGAAATTTTCTAAATAACAAGAATTGTTACATTTGTCTGTACACATGAGAAGAAACGAAATATTTGACGAGTTCAGAGGAAAAGTGGATCAAGTTCATTTCTGTTAATTGTTAGAAAATTAATCCTAAAGTTAAAGTTGTTCTAATTGTGTGCAACATGCACACACTGTTTTCCATAGGTGCTACAGTTTCTCTTAATTTTAACTTAAATATTTGCACTCATTTTTAAATCATTTAGTGAAAACTATTTAGTTCTTTCTTATTTATACAATGATTTAAAAAAAGGACTTTGTACATTTTTCCTCTCCTCATTTAACACTGGTTTATTTGTCAAAATTCGCCGCAAAAGTGAATATTAATGTTAACGCGCCTAAATTATTAATAAAATATTAACAGTGTTACCGTGTGGAATCTAATATTAATAACGTGTTTAACATTAAATCACTATCCCCCGGGCTGATCCTAATTTAGGTTTAGTATCATGATAATATTAGAGCTAATATTGGCAATTTGTGATGAAAGGGTAACCGCACGAATGATCACCCTTATTTTCCTTAATCTGTTCGGTTTTATTAACGTCAATTCACAGACCCTTCGAATGGCTCATCCTTATGACGATATTTGCGAACTGTGTCGCTCTGGCTGTTTATACGCCGTATCCCTATGGCGACTCCAATCTGACCAATCAGTATTTGGTAAGTACTTAATTTTTATGATTACTTTTTGTATTTTAATCTAATTCTACTTTATATTTTAGATATTCTATCAAAAATTGTTAATTTCATTTTCCATCCACTTTTTAAATAAAATGTCTACGAAAGGCGTTTGACATATTCTCAGTAATGCTACGACAAACTACATTTAGATACAAGTGATTAAGTTGTATTTTTATGAGGGCTTAGTGAAAAATTAATTATACTAGACGTAATAGGTGTTTAAATATAAAAAAGATTGCATTAAAAAAAAGTTATCTCTGTTCTCTGACACATACCGAGAATATACTGAACTATACTACATATGTATGCATACTCGTATGTATGCATCATTATAACGTGCATCTATTTTTCGATAAAAGAAGAAACCTCAAAAAGAACTAAAAATAATCGCGACGCGAATAGTAATCATGACGTTATGAAAGGCGCCGGCGGGTATCTCTTTGTGCGACTTCACCGAATGTGAAATGAAGCAATTTTACCGAATGTGATATATGTCTAAACCGAAGGGCGCCTCCTACAACAATAAGAGTGGCGGTTCCGTTCAACGAACCACACGAACCTCTATCGAGTTATCGATTCTGAGACGGCACGCGGGGTTGGTGGCATGAAACTTATTCGAGCTGAAAGTTCAATAATTGTTCAATCTTGCTCAACATCGGCGTGTATAACACCCCGCGCACTATAATTGGAAAGCACGATTCACATGTAGGCCGTTGTAGCGCGAGAATTAATCGAGAACACCCACCCCATCGGTCGGATACTTCAAAAGTCATTTGTAGTTATCAATGTTAAAAGCTGGCCGAGCTCGTTCATAGATAAGAGTCGCCACGCAAAGCAGAGCTTGCTGCGTGGCGATGAAACTTGCCGAATTGTCTAGTCATCTGTGCACGGAGAATCGACTCGATAGCGACAAGTCGAAATTCAGTTTTGCGTGATATTATGCATATGCTAAAGTGGGATCGTTAGCACCCCGTTAGCGGCGTACCAAAGGATGTGATTTCATTTTGCATCGCTCAAAGGACACCTCTTGCGCTAATTAATACCGAGAGGAAACTTTACTAAGATTGGGCCAACGGGAAATTCGCGGAAAGTCGAGTAAACGTGAAGGGAATCGTGATGCCTTAATCCTTATTAATTAGCAATCGTAAAAGTTGAAACGATTGATCTGTTAATTTAACTTTTTGTTAAATAACAAGTTTCGTAATTTAACTTTTCCGATTCTTTGCCGAGATCGAGAATAAAAGTGTATTTGAGGTGTATTGAGAAAAATAATATTATAAATTAAGAAATAGGAGGAATAATATGCGTCAAAGATAGATCGAATTTATGGAAACTTTGAAATAACAAGCAGTCTATGTGCAAAAATACTTAAAAATAATATTCAAATTCTTCAAATTCTTTGGTAATAAAAGGAATGGCAAATCCCTTATCTGTAGTCAACTATATATGCCGTATCAAAATTTTGCAAAATTATGTGTCCTATTTAGTTTCTACGTTTTATTTTTCTGTACAATGTTACTCTCTGAGCATCCTCGAAGACGGAGAATGTAAAACAACGTCTCCGAGAAAGATTCGAATCCAGTTGCAAACTCCAAAAAGTCGCCAATCTTAAGAGATCGATCTACTACTTCTTTAAAAACTTCCAACTTTTTTATTCTTCGTCCAACTCAATCGAAGTAAAAGTCTGACAACTTTGATATCTTTTACCGTTATATAAAATTGTGAAACTATATGGAATTGGAAATTTGCGATATATATATGATCTGAGTATCGCAAGTATTTTTATGAATATCTATTAGCTTTTCTAGCTAAATGGCGGAAAAAAAAGTTTAATTTTTTTATGATAATAAGTATAATAAGGGCGGGGCTTAGGATTCAATTTTTTTATTTATTGGAAGAATTATTTTTAGTTGCAAAAGTTTGAGAGGCAATCGAAGCAACTAGGATTGGTCACAAAAAGCGTCTTTGAGGATCTACACAAGCATTAACTACGTTCAACGTGACAGTTGAGTAAATCGAATGATTTAATCTTTCCCCATCAAATATTTGTCAGACCGATTTGACGTTTAATGTCACGATCTATTATTCGGCAAGCACACTTGTGTAGTATATATGTCTTTGACCTCATTATCTTCTCTTCTCATATTTCGTTCATGTGGCAGGCAACGTATTAACCCTCGTGTGACCGGGAAAAACTGCGCGCGCGCGATATACAACGCGTTAAAATGCATTTTTTAATGAAAAATGTCGGTTTGCTAATGCAAGTACACACAGAAATGCATACAGAACTGTATTCTGTCAGCAAGATAAAAAAGATCAATTAAAGCAATTTAATTTATATTTACGCCAGTCCTCGAAGAAGAAAAATGATAAGTGAAAAATATAATTGCACAATTAATATATATTTTAATTTCTTTTTTTATGCAAGGAAGCTTATTCAGTTTTTCTGACAATTATGACGAATCATTCTCATGCTCACCAAGCTCAAAGCCCAATAAAATAATAAATTTGATAAAATATTGTTCACTCAAAGTAATATCCAAGTCATAGAAATTTTGTATGAGATAAGTGCGTGTCAGAAGACAACAGAATGCGAAAAGACTAATGCGATTTATCAGAACTTTCGAAAGAACTTTCATACACGACTTAGCGTCCTCAAAGTGACATAACAGCGTTTACATGTCACGCCTTGGCGAACAAGACGAGCGACCGGCAATATAATGCGCACTCGAGCCTATTTTAGCGGGCCAATAATCGATCGATTTCGGAAATCAAACGTAATCGATGTCACGTAGAGGGAGAAAGTTCGTGTCCTCTCGTGTGGAGCCGCATCCGCGCCTTTAAACTTTCCTTTTAACGTCCTCCACCTCCATGTACGTTCTCCGTGTAGCGGCTTTTTTCCCTAGCTCTATGATGTGTACAAGCGAGCGCTCTTCAGCCTGTCTTATTTTTAACTCTCCGCTTCTTCCTTTTGTTTCGCCTGTTTTTCTCATCAAGGCCTGTTCTTTCCTTACCCATTATAACCGTAACATCATGCGTCGATTAACCCTTTTGCAGAACGGATGGCGATGCCACTGATATTACTGTTGATGAGTCACGCTAATGAGGAGCGATCGAGGTCGAAAAGTTAATCCTAAAGTCATTAATATATTTCCTAACGCGAAATTTCCTCTGCTTTCGCACTTTGTTATTTGCAATAAAATTCTATTAAATTCTTAATGTTTTGTCATGTTTTGTATATGCAGACCATATTCTGCTTGCTTCCGAAGTAGAAATTACGTTAAATTCTTTTTGTATTTTACATTTTACGTAACTAAAAAAGTACGTAAATAGTAGAAGTTACATACGATTTTGTAACTGACATTATAATTAATTAACTCCGCGGCTTGCTAATGAGTTAATCAAAGTTTCGGAGAAATCTGGAGAAGAATTCTGCTAAAGCTTTTGCTTCCTAACAGTATTTGAAGTCAGAGATTTGAAAAAAAGAAGAAAGCAACAGGTTACACAATTCTAGAAAAAAAAGTGGCGCATTCAAGTCCTTGAAAAAAATATTGATGCGCGTCGACACCCCTTCCTTAAGCGGTTAAGGACGATCACGTTTCCGTCGTAACTCGTTGTAATCCAACTGCACCGCGACGCTCGTGCTTTAAATGCTTAACGAAGACGTCCGTGTACGTGCGCGCAAAACATTGTCTTCTCGGGCTCGTGCGTTTTTAATTGCACTCCGCCGCAATTTGTTTCCGTCGTTTTTAATTACCCTCTTCACTCCTCTACGCTGTTGATATCAAACGAACGTGTTTCAGAGTCGAATTGCGACGATAACTTCTCGTTTGACAATTATCTCAATCATAGGTTTTTTTTCAATATTAAACAGCAGCTCGAAACTTTTCTAATAGCCACTTACTCTTAAAGGCCCTTTTAGAGATAATGGATCCACGTCAATGCGTTTCTTTTTATTGTTCACGGCGGTCTTTTTTCTTTTGCAGGAAAAGATAGAGTACATTTTTCTTGTGATTTTTACGGTGGAGTGCGTGATGAAGATTATAGCTTACGGCTTCGTTGCCCATCCGGGAGCTTACCTCCGCAACGGCTGGAACTTGCTGGATTTCACGATAGTTGTTATTGGGTGAGTCAACTTTAAATTTCCACGTTTATTTTCTTTCCATTTATTAATAAAAATAGACCCCTTTAAAGCCTAATTCTAATTCGTGAAAATTGAAATAAATTTATTGTAGCATTCTTATTCCGACAGGATTAAAGTAGTTATGATTACGGACAGGATTTTCTTGTAGTACAGTTTTTAAATTACATATATGTCATTGACATTTCTTTCCAATATATTTTTTATCTCTGATATATATATTTAAGGCTTGAAATATATCACGGCTGTATTTATAACATTTATAAAATTTCCTCTCTCTCTATAGGCACACTTATCTCTCTATCTCTGCATTTTCTGAGAATTACGGCTGGAAAATTTCGCTGAGAAAATCACTGACTGTTTCAATAACAGTTGACGTCGTTTCGTAATAAACGTCCTCTCGCAAATTCAACGAGTAAATCTGAATGGAGATAATATCTGACAGTTCATATCGATTACAAATTAATTGAACCAATGTCGACGTAATCGATGATGTGTGGCAATCATATACACTTTGTCCGTGGACAGTTTGTGCTAGCTGATGTCTTCTCAGCGTGTATACAATATCGATGACGTTCGTTGATGAACGCCAGAGCGCACGAATGGTAGCGACAAGTCGCTATCATTCGATTAAATGATATTCGTGTAGCGTCCGCATAATATTAAATATAATGAAGAGTTATTTTTACAAAGTCTTCACGTGTTTCAATGCGTGTTTCAGATACCCAAATTATAAATAAATATGGAAAAATTTATATTACGAAACACAGCGAAAAATATACTTGTAACAGCTTAAAAAGCTTTTATCAGAGAACTTTAGTATGTATAAGAGATAGAGAGAAAGAGAGAAAGAGAGAGAGAGAGAGAGAGAGAGAGAACGAGAGGGAGTCTCTTATAAATATTAAAACGATTTCATTCGCTTGAAAACTCTGCCCTCTTATTGTGTACCGATTATGCAGGAAGCGGCTGAACAAAGTTAACTCTCTTCGAAGTTATTATATTTTTCATGTTTTCGTGCACGTATATGCGCGAGCGTATTAAAAAAAAGCGAAGTGAAAATCGTGAAAATCGCGCTGCGAACAAACACGAAAGTGGCGTGTATTTATTACCATAAAAATGCGAGTGCGCGCGAGCGTCTAAAGCTGCGAAATAAAATTAATTTGAGCGTTTTCCGCTTGCGCGAAGCCGAGCCGATCCAGCGATATTCCGCGAGGCGTGAATAAAATGAAATTGACGCAAGCAGACGAAGGCGGCGCGAAAGGAAGGAAATATTACTTGGGAATCGTCTTCGTTGGTCGAGCAGTGCGGTGGAACGACGAGAGGCTGCCAGTTGAATTACTGGTCGGGAGAGGAAATCAGCGATATATTCCATGCGTAGCCGAGCGATCGGCCGGCATAATGTCGCGACTCATGCGCGTAAATTAAATCCAATCGGGCATAACGTCGCGCAACGCAGTACTCTCGTGATTGAGAATTGAAATTTTATAAGCGCCGCTTAAGCCCCCCGCCATACGTCCGCCGCTATCCATATGATTGGGTACTAATAACTTTTACCGCAATTAGCACTTCGCGAATTCGGAGAATTCGTGTTTGCTTTCATTAAATGATATATTGCTTTCGTTTGGATTATTTTTCGGAGTTTCGCGGAATATATATTTGGTTACAAAATATAATAAAAATGTTATTATCAACTTTCAATATTTTGTAACAATTTTATCCAATTTTTGTTGGAAAATTCGTAGATAAAAATATTTAAAATCACGGTTGGCGATTACAACACATTCGTTGCAATGTAAACGGAATATTTCGATACGTTCACACACATACACATGTCCACGCGATAATCTGGGTATCGGCGCGGTTTCAATATTTGACCTCTACATGCACTTATTACTACTATGATACCGTACTTCGTATACATGACGTAAATAATGATACCCTATTTACGCGATCATCGATTTTTGCAGAATAAAGAGACGAAAAAACTCGCGCGCATACACGCGCATTTTACACACGCGCGTGTTGTATAAAATGCCGATTTGACAAACAGAGCATGTCGGTCATCCCCGGCTGTTTTCCCCGGTTAATGATCCACGAGGCGAATTTATTTCACACAGCGTAGGACTGTTCGCGAAATCCATCCGAGTTTACTCCGAGATTTAGACTGACAAGCATAACTATCTGTTTCGGAGCGCACACTTCGCATGTATCCCGCTTGATAACTCTATCGCTTTCGGTTAACGACACACTGAATCGATCCGTCTTAATCTCTCGCGAGAGAGAGAACGTGCGCATCTATCTCCTTCTCTCATTCCACTCTCGTGTCAACTATTACACAGAGGAACCATTATTCAAATGACACGGAGTCTAATATATGAGGAAAATATCGCAGCCGCGACGGTAACATTCGAAATTATTTCATTAAACGAGATTGTTTTGCGGTCGTCGATTCGCACACTCGCTTACGATAGTATGTTGGTCGAGCGAATATTTTGATACAAAGACGCGATAAAAAATCCGCATTGAAATATTAAAAAATTATATTTCTGTCGAAGACAGAAATTTAGAAAAGAATATGAATAAATTCTTTTGTCAATAATAAATTTAAAAAAAGGATTTTGTTTATTCAGAAAAAAGTTTTCTCTCTCTTCTTTTTATATCTCGTAAACGTACCCATAAATGCCCGCGGCGTTTATAATGCTATTAGCCTTGGCATACATAAAGCTCTTTTCTTCAGGGGCAAATTATCTTTTGCGAATATGGCTTTATTATCAAGTCTCCTATTATCGTCAAATCGTTAATCCTTCTTGTCTTTTGTGTAGAAAAACTTTTTGCACCTTTTTTTGTAGAATGATAAGCACGGTGCTGACGATACTCATGAAGGAGGGCTTCGACGTCAAGGCCTTAAGGGCGTTTCGCGTTCTGCGTCCTCTTAGGCTGGTTTCCGGTGTTCCAAGTAAGATTTTCCGTTTCAAAATATTAATTTTGCTTTGAATATTCACGAGATTAGCAGAATCTATTAGAAATTAATTCAATTTGTACATGAATTATTATGGAGATATGAAAATAGTCATAGTTCTAGTACTAAAATATATTATATTGTATTGTGTTAATAATAATAATAATAATTCATAACGCGTAATTGATGAATTGTTGTTATCTGCGTAGGTCTTCAGGTGGTCCTAAACTCTATTTTGAGGGCGATGGTACCACTTTTGCATATTGCTTTATTAGTTCTCTTCGTCATCATTATTTACGCCATCATCGGCCTCGAGCTGTTCTCCGGAAAGATGCACAAAACATGCAGACACAATCTAACTGGTAAGTGCATATTCCAGGATTGCTGCATGTTCCGATAAAAATTTTATGGACGACGTTCTTGGCAACGATATTCTCAACGACGGCGAATACATCGCGAATCGATATGCGCACAAATGCTCTTAAATTTATTAAATTCTGAATTCTGCATATATCCAGGTCAGATTTCTAAAGAAACTCAATTTGCGTATCTCTGTAGTATTGTTTCGCCACTAATTTATTCAATGTAAATTCACAGTTAAATCTGCAGTTTCGCATTTAATGGGACTCTGTTGAATTCTTCATGACATTTTAACTAAAATTAATTTCTGAAAGAAACGTCTATTTTCGTGAGAGATATTCTTTGATTGTGTAAAAACAAATCTATGTAAATAAAATCGTCTTTTTCTTTATATTTCAACAAGAGACTCTTCGTTTAAAGAGACAAGAGGTCACCATAAATTTACAAAAAGCACAAAATGCAAACTTCTAAATGTCATTGAAGCTTCTAAATGTCAGTCTTGATTCAAGAAAATTTGTCCGCACGCATGTGTAAGCTAAAATGTACCACGAAAAGACAAAATGTTACGAGGCCCGTTAAATTATTCACAAATTCAGGCATTTTTAATGGTCGTCACGTGGGATTCGGCGAAAAAATCGCACACTTCATGACCGAAAGGTCAAAGCGGAAGGATTTGACGAAGGCCCCGAGGGAAACTCCCGGCTTAGCCTCGAAACACACTTTCCGCCGGGACAGTTATTTTAGATATGATTCAGCCGAGACGCGGACGCGAAACTAACGTCTAATTATTATTAGCGCGAGGGACGCGCGCGCGCGCGCGACTTGCGTGCCGCACGGCAAACAGCTGATTCAGAGAGAATGCGTAAAATAGCGTGTGCATACCGTCGGGCCCGGGCGATACACAAAAGCTCTGAAAGAGATACACCGGGATGCGTTAGAAGGAGAGAATGAACAACAAATTTACATTGCCAAACTTTCGATGAAGCTACAACTTGCTGTTAGTTTTGTGTCGTAAATTTCTTTAACTTTCCTTTCAATTAAATAATTGGAAATAATTCATAATAATAATAATAATTCATAATCAAATAGAATTATTATATTAGAGAAACGAGGATATGTACTATTTATGTTCAAGTAGAATTAATTTATACTAATCAGCTAATATTGTTTTTATATAGATTATATACGGTATCGCGTATAATCGTCAACATAGTTTTAACAATCAATTAAACTACTTTTACTGATTAAAAATAATTTATATTTTTAATTAATCGGTGTTTCAATTACGCACTAATTTATCGCTGGCCTATATTTGTAAGCTATTAATATAACAGCCAATTAGCTAATAATTGTATTCATTATTTTAATTTGGTAAGAGATCCAGATATGACTTGTCATACTGGTGGTGTTAGCTGAACGTAATTTAGAGCTTATAACAGAGCAACGAGCTCAGCGACGCTTCTTTAATCGACCTGTGTATATACCGCGAGAAGGGCGCGTGAGAGAGAGAGAGAGAGAGAGAGAGAGAGAGAGAGAGAGAGAGAGAGAGAGAGAGAGAGTAGTAGTACGTACGGTACGG